TTCATAGGGGTCAGAATGGATTAACCGTATTTACATTGAACCTTATGGGAAAATTTGATTCAGGTCGCAACCAATTCGGGTCGCGACTAGAGTCACGGAACAAATTAAGTTCGTGACCCGAGGTACCACTGTAGATGATTACAGTTCCTGGAGTAGATGATGATGATATTTTTAACCTGCCTTTAAAAAAAAAAAAAAATCGGTCAACTCAAGGTGGTGAACACACCTAATACTACTTTCCCTACAACAATAACCCTGTGAGGTGGGGTGGGCTGAGAGAGACAGACTGGCCCAAAGTCCAAAGTAGCTTTTCTGCCTTGCATCCAAACAGCTGCATGTCCCTAGCTGGTTCCATAAAGGAATATAAACCAAATACTAACCTCATCATCAAAGAGTCCTGTCCCACCACTGAAGAGTCCACCTTTAGAACCAAATGGTGAGAAATCTTCATCAGTTAGCTTGGGGGGCTTAAAGATATCCTCATCTAGGATGAGATAACGTTTGCATCAAAAGAGCTAAAAAAAGAGAGTTATGAAGTGCTCAGAAACATACTAAGACCTAACTTAGGAGGAAACTTTCCCTACTGAAGTTTTCCAGACTGCACCTACCACCTATTCCACAGAAGATTAGAGCAAAGGAGCCACAGTAGCTGTGGTTGTACAATCTCTTGGACAGTCTTGGGGATTCAAAACTCAAATTCCTTTCTATCCAATTGAGAATGCATGAATGTCAAGATTTGTTGTTGTTGTTTGTTGTTGTTGTTTCTCAGTTTCGAGTGCAATGGAAACTGAGAATGCACCGAAAAAGGTCTTATATTAGAGAAAATATCTTAAAGCCAAAAAATAACTAAAAAGTATTATGCTAACAAATGGCATGCAAGCCCTTCTCACAACTTCTCCATATGACCTGACTTCCTCTGAATATAAATAATAAAATGGACGCATAGTACTTTCAAGGCACAATAGTATTCAACAGTAAGGACATTCAGAACTGTAGAAAATGGTTGGCTCAGGGTTGCCCATATCTCTTCCTCTTCTCAGAGGGAACTCAGCACCTAAGGACAACCCCCCCAGCCCCAACTTACCATCTGAGAAAACATTAACATCTTCCTTAACAGTGACTATAGCCTTATTTTTCATATCTGTTTAGGAAGAAAAGATTTACAATCAGTCTTTCTTCGTCATTACTACAACATGTATGAAACATTTAAAAGTGCAATGAACAGAAAATCATGGTCATCTTAAAAAATCCTAAGTGTTACACAGAACAATTTTCTTCAGCCTGGATTATGTGAATTAGCCTATGGCAGAAATGCACAATTTCTACTGGCCCGAGAGCCACATTACAAAAATGGACTGGGCTTTCATTTTTTTACTTTAAACTTCATTTTATTAATGATTTTACTATGTTATTTTAGTACCTTTTATCATTATTTTATTTTATTATTTGGGGAAGAGTTACAGTACCAAGATTTTTTCCATTCCTTTCTTATTTGTTTTTAATAGTTATTGTATTTCCTGTTCTGTTTAGTTAATATTGTACATCACCCACTCTTCAGAGCTGGACCTGGAAATAGAGGATGTTAGCTGGGTTAGATCAACAACGAGGATTCCACAGAGTGCTCCTCAGATTATTGCCAATTTATGCATGGTTGCTGTACATGGTATGGTTCTGAAGAAGACCCATGAATAAATGAAATGAAATTATATTTATCCCTGGGATATAAAACAAGGAAACAGATAGTTCCCACTAAATACACTGATCTTCCTCAATCTAGTGCCCTCCCCAAACATCTGCAGAGTAGGTTAGGGAAGGCCTTGCCAGATTATCAATTTCTCTTTTCCTCCAGAGTCCAACTAATCCACAATTAAGTAATAAAATAACCTATGCTGCAAGCACTGTCAGGGTAAAAAATATTATCTTTGAGCTTGCCACTGAAATCTTATGAAAAAGGACTCTCAGTTTCTTTCATCTTTATTTCCTTACATTTGGGGAGCCAAGGGATGACAAGGAAACTAATGTTCATGAA